AGCGTGTGCGTGCTTGTGTATGTGTGTGTGTGTGTTCGCGCGTGTGCGTGCTTGTGTGTGTGTGCGCGCGTGTGTGTATATGTAAATATTTTCGTCTATATTTATACGTGTTTCGCCTTAACCGCCGTGCACAATGTTTAGCGCTATAGTCATGATCACGATCCTAGTCAACTGCATTTTCATGGCGCGAAAGGCGCCGCCGAAGGATGGAGATATCGTTGAGGAGGACCCCGTCGAAAACATTGCAGAGTAAGTGCTGACGTTCCTCTACAATCTCTCCCTCTCTTTTGTGTGTGTGTGTCTCTCTCTCTTTCTTTTTCTCTCTTCCTCTCCTTCTCTCTCTCTCTCGCCCCACTCTCTCTCTCTCTCTCTCTCTCTCTCTCTCTCTCTCTCTCTCTCTCTCTCTCTCTCTCTCTCTCTCTCTCTCTCTCTCTCTCTCTGTGACCATATCTCTCGCTCGGTCTCTGTCTCTCCCTTTTCACCCGCAGCTGTATCTTTCTCTGCCGCTCTATAACCTAACCGTCCTCTCGCTAACGCCCATGCACGCACATGAGCTTGTGTATTTTACGGATGGCTATCATTACTATGTTTGTTCCTATGCCGATTGTTAGCCCGCGCCTTCGCTTTGTCGCCGTCTCCCGCGCTGTAGTCATACTCATAGTCAATACGCTAGAGATGAATTCTGCCTCATCGCATCTGTTGCTATCTATTGCCTTCTGTCATCGACAGCTTTCATAACCCGCTAACTTCGCTAGATTGCTCTAGAAATATCAAAAACTAAATGTAACCTTGTTTCCAATTCTTATTTTCGGGCGGACCGCAAATGGGTGCCTCGTCGTGTTTCTAATTCTCTCGTTTTGTTTTCTTTCAGGTGGATTTTTACTGGCATATATACATTTGAAATGACAATCAAACTTCTATCTAGAGGATTCATCTTAGAACATTTTACATATCTTCGTGACGCGTGGAATTGGCTTGACTTTTGTGTGATACTTCTAGCGTAAGTTGTGCTCAATGACCCGTGACATATTGGTCGTCAACGTCTTTAATGTGACCATCACCAACGTCGTCACCGTGACCATCACCAACGTCGTCACCGTTACCTTCGCAAACGTCGTCACCGTCATCATCACCAACGTCGTCACCGTCATTATCGCCAACGTTGTCACCGTCACCATCGCCAGCGTCATCAATGTCACTGTCGCCAACGTCTTCACCGTCAACATCGCTAACATCACCGCTGCCACCATCACCAACGTTGCCACTTTCACCATCTCCAGTGCCGTCACCGCCACCATCGCCAACGTCACCACTGTCGCCATCGCCAACGTCGCCACTGCTACTACACAACAGTGATAGAATCATCCATCAGTGACACCTTGACCTGACCAAGGCTTGATCCTGACCAAGGCTTGGTTTTTCACTGATGCATATATTTCTGAATAATATGTAGCCCTTTCCCTTATTCACACGAAAACGGTTTTGTTAATATCAAACTGTTATCACTATATATGTGTTTTCTTGCTGCTCACTGTTTCCTTTGCGTCCTCATGTAATACTATATATTATATATACCTATATTATATAATATAGGAATGATGCCAGGCAACAGCAAGTAGAGAAGCATAAAACACGTCAAACTCCGCGAAGCACGTTTATCAGCATATTGGCGATAAATCGGCCGCGCGAAAAACGTAAAGCAGACGGAAGCTTTTATTTACTTTCGGCAGTTTTCCAAGATCGAGGCGCTCCCTATCGTGTCATTGCGAACTAACGTCACCGTAGATGGATTTTTAGACTCTCATGCCGCTTTCATAAACCTGTAGAGGCGAGGTCGATCGTAGCCGAGCAGCATCAGCAGTGCGTCCGTCTGCTACTAACCAATTTATCCTGTCAGCTTATAGCGCACCATGTCGACGAAACGAGTTAATCGCCACATTACGGGCACGGCCGCAGTATCCACAGCGGCTAACGGCAACGTATATATTCTTTTTACATGGCCAGGCATATAGTCATCGGAATTGCGCGCAAGATATAGTATCGCATTTTTCTTGCATCATGAAGCATGTGTGACTCCACCGTTTCCTCAGTTTGCCTGGTTCCCCTTCCCCCTCTTCATTCTGATTCTTCCTTCTCACTTCGGTCATTGACTGGTCGCACGTCATTAATTCACTCGACCCCCATGCAGCTGCCGACAACAGCTACGGCGCTACGATATCATAAATGAACGTAATTACCGCTAATTAAGTTTCTTTACGGCTGTTACTGCTACTGCTGGCTGGTGCTGCTGCTGCTGCTAGTGCAATGTGCTGCTACCTGCCTACTGACTACTGCTGACTGCGCTGTGACTTGCTGCTGCTGCTCGTGGTGCTGCTGCTGATGCTACTGCTACTATGCTGATTACGTGCAGATGACTGCGGCACTGCTATGGTATGCTACTGCTTACTTGCGCTGGTGGGCATGCTGCTGCTTGCTGCCTGTACTGCCTGCCTGCTGCCGTGCTGGCGGTGTGCTGCTGCTGTTTGCTGCTGCTGCTGTGCTGCTGCTGACTGCTGTTGCTGTGTTCCTCTTTTCGTCGATATCGGTTATGGGGAACGATTAAGATGTTTGCGAGTAATTGAATGTTATTGGTTTGTAAGGCATTCAACGTATCTCTCTCTCTCTCTCTCTCTCTCTCTCTCTCTCTCTCCTCTCTCTCTCTCTCTCTCTCTCGCTCTCTCTGCTCTTCTCTCTCTCTCTTTCTCGTCTCTTCTCTCTCTCGTTTCTTTCTCTCTTCGCGCTCTCTCTCGCCTCTATTTCTCATGCCTCTTTTATACCATCTCTCTCGCATCTCTCCATTCTCTTGCTTTTCTCTCTCTCTCTCTCTCTCTCTCTTTCTCTCTCTCACACACACTACTCCCCTCCCCTTCTCTCTCTCTCCTCTCTCTACTCTCTCTCTTCTCTCTCTCTCTCTTCTCTCTCTCGCCTCGCCAGTTGATAGATGTTACTTCTTATATTGCTTACATGGACATTTGAGCTTCCTAGGTTACGGCACAGAGTATTTACTTGTTGGGCAACCTCTCTTGCCCTACGCCACGTTTCAGAAGTGTCGACGCAGCTCAAACGGTAGCTTGATTGCCAGGTAATGACCTGCTTGCTCTAACACGCGTGTGAACAACACTTCGGTTCTCGATACGACACGCGCGACCTCTTCGGCGGGCGGGTGGTATTACAGGCTGCTCGAAATTCACCTAGCGTTGATGATATAAGGGCGCGTTCCACACGACGTTTTGGCCCGAGCCTAATTTAGGCCGTGCCAGATTTGTCGAGCGAGCCTTCACACGGACTTTTTGGCCCGAGCCTAATTTATTAGGCCCGGCGATGCTAGTTTGGTCCCATCGAAACGTCGGACCAGGCCCGAGCAAATTTAGACCAGCTTTCGGCGAGGGCTTAGGCGTAGAATCGGTTGAGCCGGTAGATGTCGCGGAGTGACGACGTGTACTCGGACGAAATAACGTCCAAAACAGTTATTATAAAAATTCAGAAAATTTGAACAGAATGCACGTGTTTCAAGATGGCATAATTAAACTCGGAACGTAAGTAAAACTCTAAACGCTTAACAACGCCATCTAGCGACATATGCAAAGTATCTGGTGAGATTTGTGCATTAAATTTATTTGAATTTGAATTTGAATTTGACAGACAGTATTCACTTGCGTACGTGTGAACGCGCCGACTCAAACCGGCCCGAGCCAAATCTAGCCCATTTGGCTCGAGCCAAACCATGACCGTGTGAACGCGACTATAGACTATGGGTTTATACATCTGTGTAGAAATCAGCGTTGTGACGCTACGACGAAATCAGTAGTAATTGGGTGACGTCACATCCGTTCGACCTTACGTCGGTAGGTAACGATGATGGTATAGGGGATACGATCTTAGTCGTAAGGCTTGAGCCATAACGACGTAGCATCTACTCGCGCTTTGAAACAGGAAAACTGTGTGAAGTAGTGAGTAACACATCTACCATTGATCCCACTTCCCGATGTGTATCGAGAACCGACATGGTTTGTTCCATTCTGTACTCTCTTTTTATTATCTCTTTTTTACACTAACGATGTGCATTGTCGCTTTTTTCTTTGGCAGATATTTAACAGAAATGGTAGAAGGTTTAGGGAATTTCACCGTATTGCGGACATTCAGGGTGCTTAGAGCTCTTAAAACTGTAGCTGTATTACCAGGTAAGGTGGATAGATGGCGCCAGGTGCGCGCGAGGATAGATGGCCTGTAGATCAATGTTGTCGCATCATCCTTGTGTGTATACGCATCGTAGCACAAACAAAACACCACCGAGGCTGTGCTGCATGAAAACTCTCTCTCTCTCTCTCTCTCTCTCTCTCTCTTCGTCGTCTTCGTCGTCTTCGTCGTCGTGGTGTCGGCGTAGGTATCGTACTTTAGCGACCGCCGACACGAGTGCATCTGTGTTACCGTGTAGAGAGATGTCGGTGGGTAACGCTGCTGCTGCTGCTGTTGTTGATGTTGATGTTGATGTTGAAGTTGATGTTGTTGATGTTGTTGTTGTTGGTATTTTTGTTTTTGTTGTCATTATTGTTGTCGGACACGTATGACCAACTCTACCCGCTCTCACTCAATCTTTTTCACTCTCTCTCCCTCTTTCCTTACTCTCTCTCTCTCTCTCTCTCTCTCTCTCTCTCTCTCTCTTTCTCTCTCTCTCTCTCTCTCTCTCTCTCTCTCTCTCTC